CCGGCAAACATTCGTGTCCCAAGGCTCCCTTGGCCGAGCACGAAACAATTAATAAAAAATTAACCTTATCCTCCAAAAATTAAAAAAATTTTGACACGACTCTTATTTCATATATAATTCTTTAAGATTTGGTCAATTAATTCCCGAAAAATTGCAAAAAATTTGTAACTAGTTCCCAAAAAAATCGGTAACAAAAAATTATACACTTTATAGCAATCCCGGGAAAATTCTACCTTTATTTCATATGTAATTCTTTAAGATTCAATTATTTCCCGAGAAATTGGAAAAATTTCGTAACCGGTTTCCAAAAAGATCGGTAACGAAAAATAATACAATTTATAGCACTTCCCAGAAAATTCTACCTTTACTTCATACACAATTGTTTGAGATTCGGTCAATTAATTTCCGAAAAATTTTCTGATACTGATTTCCCCAAAGATTGGTAACAAAAAATTATACACTTTATGGCAATTCCCGGGAAATTTTACCCCCACTTCATATAATTCTTTAAGATTCGATCAATTAATTTCCGAAAAATTGGAAAAATTTTGTAACCGGCTTCCAAAAAGATCGGTAACGAAAAATTATACACTTTATAGCACTCCCCGAAAAATTATACCTTTGTTATATGTATATATATATATATATATATATATATATATTATACTATTATATAAAACCCGACTGTTTGTCTGTCCGTCTGTCCGTCTGTCCGTCTGTCCGTCTGTCCGTCTGTCTGTCCGCGAACTACTCATTCGTTAGTAGACCGAATTTTTACCAAAAGTGTATGAAACAGGGGTAGAATTTCCCGGGAAGTGCCATGATGTATAGTTTTTCATTACCAATTTTCTGAAAACCGGTTTTTCTATTTTTTTCAAATTTTTGGGAATGAAAAACTATACACATCATGGCACTTCCCAGAAAATTCTACCCCTGTTTCATACACTTTTGGTAAAAATTCGGTCCACTAACGAATGAGTAGTTCGCGGACAGACAGACGGACAGACAAACAGTCGGGTTTTATATAATAGTATGATAGGGGTAGAATTTTCCGGGGAGTGCTATAAAGTGTATAATTTTTTGTTACCGATTTTTTTGAAAGCCGGTATTAAAAATTTTTCCAATTTTTTGGGAATTAATTGACCAAAGCGCAAAGAATTGTATATGAAGTAGGGATAGAATTTTCCGGGGATTGCCATGATGTGTACAGTTTTTGTTACCGATCTTTTTGGAAACCGGTTTTTTTAATTTCAATTTTTCGAAAAATAATTGATTGAATCTCAAAGAATTATACATGAAGTAGAGGTAAGAATTTTCTGGGGAGTGCTATAAAGTGTACTATTTTTTGTTACAGATCTTTTTGGAAACCGGTTTCAAATGACCGAATCTCAAAGAATTGTACATAATGTACGGGTTGAATTTTTTGGAGAGTGCTATAAAGTATATAATTTTTCGTTACCTATTTTTTTGAAAACAGTATCAGAAGTTTGATGAATTTTTCGCGAAATAATTTATCTCGAATTTTAAAGAATTGTATGTAAAACAGGGGTAGAATTTTCCGGGGAATGCTATAAACTGTATAGTTTTTCGTTACCGATCTTTTTGGGAACCGATATCTTTTTGGAAATCGGTTACGAAATTTTCCAGAGAGGGAGAGAGAGAGACTATTTGCGTGTCTCATTACATATGTCCTCCGGGGCGAAGCCCGGGTAACCAGCTAGTATATATATAATCCTTTTAAATTTGGTCAATTATTTCCCGAAAAATTAGAAAAATTGGTTTCCAGAAAATCGGTACCAAAAAATTGGCCGCGACATTTTCATCCCCGTGAAATTCTACCACTGTTTCATATACTTTTGGTAAAAATTCGGTCCACTAACGAATGAGTAGTTCGCGTACAGACAGACAGACAGACAGACAGACAGACAGACAGACAGACGTGACTTATATATATAGATTACTTTCTGCTTGCACTGACATTAGCACTGACATAAACTGTTATATTTTTCAGTTACATTTGTTCATAATTTTTTAACAAACAACGAGCGACGACTAAAATTTTTTGAAGGTTACTCAGGAGGATGACCTTGACAACATATCAAGGTCAAGGTCATTGGGGTTAGATCCGTTATTGTGCACTTTTACCAAAATTGTTATATACAAAAGTTGCATGACTTTGAGATGGTCATTACATAGTGTATACATTTTTTAAATAAGTAGAAACGTTTAAAAGATTTTAGGTCAATTTGATTTAAAAAAAATTTCTATTTTTTATTGTATTATCTTTTTCTACGAATTAATTTGAACAACCCGAGAAAAAAAAATTATATATAATTTGTCTCTATATGATCATGTATAATTATATATAATCTAGGTGCTTTTTATATATAATTTATATATAAATTACAAAAACTCATATATAATCATGTCAAATTGTATATGAAACATTATATATATTTAAATATATTTTAATCGCCTGTATAATTATATATAATCATGTATAATTATATATGATATCATATATAGGGGAGACCGAGACGAAGTCGTCACTATTTTTTCGGTGCCAATTTTCACTACAAAACAAATAATTTTAGTAAAATGTGATATACCGTTGTAAAGAGTGAACCCTTGGCTACAAAATTTATCAAATCAGGGCATTTTCTGTCTACGTCGCTTTGTTCAACTGGTATAAAGTAAAAACGACAAAGGTGCAAAAATTGAAATGTTATGGAGTCGTCACTCCATTCTCAGACTGGATTTAAAAAAAAAATTTATAATTTCGATTATAAAAAATGATAGGATACATTTTATTGATTATTTTTTTTATATAAAAATGGGAACACACATTAATTAAAAACACGTTAGCGGAAAATAATTACAAGAAAAGCGCACATACTTATGTGCCCTACGCTCGCACGAAATGCACTGTTTCTCGTCAGCTCTGTTCTCTGTCACCTTTGAGCACACGCAGTACATAATATCCAAGTCCTCATCGGAATCCGACCACTGCTGCTTCTTTGACTTTAATTTAAGCCCGAAACCTCCATGATGTATCGTACGGCCACGTCATCTAAGTGTGCTATTTCATCATTATTCTTCTTCAGCCAGTCGTTCAACGTAGTTCTCGGGACTCCAAATTGTTTTGCGGCTACTTTTGTCTTAATTTTATCTCTTTTTATCGCAAGAATTATCTTCCTGAGTTGCTTTTTATCGACGAGAATTGTTTTGCGATGGTACGTACGTACCATTTTCTTTTTTTCCCGGGAACTTTTGTCTGAAGCTCGATAATTGTTTGTCGAAGGGAAAACTGGAAACGGACTTTTTGACTTGATTTAGTCTCAAGAATATGCTGTTGCAATAATACCCTAACTTTTTGAAACAATTGTATAGACACTTTCTTGGAGCTTTTATGTTATACACAAGTAAAAATGTTGGGGTTAAACATTGAAAAAGTTACAAAGTTTTCTTTGAATATTTCAAAAAGTATTAAGCAAATAAAAAAATGTTTCAGTCAAAAGTTGTTCAAATTAATTAGTAAAAAAAGATGATACAGTAAAAAAGGGTTTTCATTTAAAGAAATTAAGTCAACCTTTAAATTTTTTAAACGTTTTTACTTAGAAAAAAATGTATACACTATGTAATGACCCTCTCAAAGTCATGCAATTTTTGTATATGTATAACAATTTCTCGTACAACTTATAATTTACAAGTTTTTGGAGGTATGCAAATTATCCTACCCTGTATATGGCACATACACTCAATATACATATTATAAACCCCATTAGATACACATTGCATACTTACATTCCATTATCAGTAATTCGAAGCATGCTTAGAATGAACGAGTAGCAGTATACAATAAACATCAGAAAGCGGCTTTAGAGATTGTGTCTATTTCCTGCATTTGGTCGATTGTGGCAAAAGAATAGCGCTTCAGGAACGAAATCTTAATAGCAGCAAAATGGTTTTTAAGTAGATATGGACAACCACATCGCAGATTTGGCGCACATCCCGTGCATGCGAAGGCAATCAGGCGAGTACAGCTGATAATCCTTTAGTAGTGGTAATGTCGCTAAAAATTAATTTTCTATAAAGGGAGAGAGAGAGAGGAAAAGAGAGAGAGAGAGAGGGAGAGAAAGGAAAGAGAGGGAAAGCACAACATTTTGTGGCTTCTTTACTGAACAGCTTGAACAGCTTTGCAAATAAATATATTCGACGAGACAAGCACATTTCTCGGTAGACCGGCTCTCAATTCCTAATGTAATTGTGAATCTGCGATTTGTTGTTTCCTTCTATATGTATATACGTGCATACTATGATTTTATAATTTAAACAAAAAAAGAATTTTGAACTTGGATTAATATTAATATTACAATACAGTCCAAGATATGAATAAACAGTTAAAACATCTACGTTTTCTAGATGTCTTTCTAGTATTTATTAGACATTTGTATTGTTTAAAAAACAGGATTTACAAAACCTGTTTTTGTGACTTTAAAAGTTTCAAAGAAACTTATACAAATCTACAGAGACATAAATTATTTTAAAGTTAGAGCTTCAATTCGACAAGGGAGTCGGCTTAAGAAGCTGCGTAGAATTTAGGCTAAAGCGTACCATTCTTAACATTTTCATTTCTCATGCAATCGAGACTTTTCATCTACCTCATATTTTTAGGAATACAAAGACTTCAGGGACGCAGAGAACATAATGCCCCTTGCTACCAGCGACTTTCGTAACCCAGTGTGTCAAGAAATGAGGTCCCTTAGGTTCAGTAGCAGCAGTGGTAATGGTGGAGGTGAAAACGGCGCCGAACATTTAGGTTCATCACTCGTGGAATCGAAGATATCTCCTATTCAGCCATCAGAAATGTTAAGCTTTGCTAGAATGTACAATGAGCAAGGGTACAATTATACAAAGACGTATAACGAACAAGGAAGCATCGATAGTTCGGATACATACGCGAGCTGTCAAACACATCCATCATATTCACAGGTGAGAATCGATGTCGCATAGTTAATAATAGATTAATCTTTTGCGCGTGCAGTATATGCTACTGAAAAATAATAGACAACCCAGCAAGTAAAATGATGCAAACTTTGCGCAAACCCGAGCGCGCAGTAAAATTGCAACAAGTGCCCGCAAAAAGTTTAGCTTTTGCTGGTAAAGCTTGTTGTAACAACGTGACTCACATTCTACGCAAATAACACTGGCAAGCCTTGCCGTGCATACCATAACAGCAAATTTACTGCAAAAGCAGAGCAAGGTTTGCTGGCATAACGACGTAAAATACACGTAAATAACAGAGCAAACCTTGCGGTACACGGAATGACAGTAGCATTTATGGAAAAAATAGGGCAAAGCTTGTTGTAATAGTACGGATCATAAATAATTAATGAACTTTCTATTAACCCCATATAGCACAGAAAAATTGCAGGAACATTGCAGAAATATTTCATTGTAAAGGCGGATACAGACTTGATCACGAACGCGAATGAGGCAGTCCAAGGCCGCATAAGCATGCAAGTGTGGACGTTGATCTGAGGCGCGGCAAATTGCCTTGGATCGTTCGCCGCACAGCCTCGGTCCGAACCGAATGCTGTCGGTCCATCAAAGAAAATTCGTGCTCAGTTTGGACGTCTCCAAGCACGTATAAGCGTGTTCCACGGAGATAAAGGAGTGAACATAACGCTGCGAGAGTGAAGCACTGGTGGGGAAGGGGATTAGGCCGAACGAATGAAGTAACGTCGAACAGTTGCCTCGATTTGCCTCATGCGTCCTCGTGCGCTTTTACTGTCCGAGCATGGTGTAAGTAGACAGGTGAAGCATTGCGCATAATGGCGGCAGCTTTGGCGGTTGAACCAATCAGGAGGCGACCTATTTTGTAGGCGTTCACTTTAAGGTGAAGTTCGATTATAAGAAATAAAAATGTGTGAATTATGTAAAATTTTAAATATATACTTAATGAAATACACTAAAACCTTAAATAAATAAACTAGTGACAAATAAACCTACTTTTATTAGTTTATTTATGTATTTATTAAACTCCTGTCTTAATTCTGTTCTGGTTTAGTTACGTAATTTGATTAGGGTCAACCGCACGTCCACAGTGTAGATTCTGAGTTATAATGTGAGGAGGAAGGGTTGAAACCTCGGTTGAAACGCAATTTACTTAGGTAATAATAAAAAGACATATGTAACGAAAAAAAATAAATATTTTATTCAAACAGAATAAAATTAGGGAACGTTTTTTGTAATTATTAAAATACACATTTAATAACATCTAATAATTTTAAATAAAATGTAGACTTGAATAAAATAACAATCTAAATATAAACTTTATTGCATATATGTTTTGTTTTCTTCCCGATTTTTTTAATAATTTGTTTAGCGACATCTTTTTCGAATTGTTCAAGTAATTGCAATTCTTCTTATTACACGGAAGTCGCGGATCAGGACTGCTAGATAAAAGGAAGACATAAAATAAAATAGATATAAGCAATATATAATAAATATTAATGTTTTATTTATATACAAATTATTATTATTACAAGTAATCGCTCCAGTGCTGCAATGTAAAATAGTACATAATAGTACAATTTGCTAATATTAGTATGCGTTTAATAGTACCCTTATCGAAATTTAATAAGTGATTATTTGGTGATTAATTACTTTTGAGTATTTGTACGTGGCTTTGTCCATTTATTTTCTATGCAGTCTGAAGAGAAATGTCGCTCACATATACTTGCTGAAAATTACACATAAGTTTTCAGAATAACACAAATTATATACTGTATACGAATTCAAATGATTCTTAAAATTTACCGCTGTTTATGTTTAAATTTTCTTCTTCTCGGTAGCAAGCTTCGAGCCATTTTTCTTTTAACTCGCGATTTTGAGGGAATGGAAAGAACTTGATGTCTTTCGTTTTCGTAGCTTCACCGGAACGACTTTTGCAATTTCTCACGCAACAAGTCGGCATGATTATAAATACATATTATTTAGCAAATATCGACCAATATAATGCCTCTCAACATTAATTATATTTACTACTTCCTGCGTATGTTGTATTAAAGTCGCAAAAGTTAAACACACAATATTTTCCGCACAACAGACGCACGCGACGGATAACGGACTACAAACTGACGGAAGCAGCCATATTGCTTTTCTCGCAAAACAGGTCGCACGCTGATTGGTTCAAAACCGAACGAGTGCGCAGCATCGGGAATGCTTCACCTGTCTACTTACACCATGCTGTCCGAGGACTCTGAGGGTGCGGCCCCATGGACTAATATTTTCCGCGTAACGCGTATTGCGGTGAGGCATTCGGTGTGGCCTCAGGCTGCCTCATTCGCGTTCGTCTGTATTCGCTTTTTACAACATTGTAAATACATTGCAAAATGTTTCTGCAGCAACGGTAAAATGTCCGCCCTTACACTGAAAGCCGAAAAACAGTAATAATTCCTGTATTTTTGCTCACTCAACTTTTAGGCTGAAGTCACATGGCATGTATTTTCCGCGTAACGCGTAATCGCGTAACCAATTAGAAGAGAGAAGCGTTTTGCATTTTCGGTTACGCATATTCGCGCTTCTGATTGGTTACGCGATACGCATTACGCGGAAAATATCAGTCCATGTGATCGCACCCTTAATCTTTTTCTTACAGTAACCATTACGCACTACTACAATAAACATCCTTCCAGTAACCAGTACGGAATTTACAGTAATCATTACGATAAAGACCAGTAATGATTCCGGTGCAATATTTTAACAAAATAAAAATATTTTCAAATAACTTTTTTTAAATATTTTTATAGTTTAATTTGTATTCGTGATTTTGCATATATTCTATTTTATTAATTAAAATTACGCACTGTTTTACAATTTTTAAAAACACATTGACGGAAGACGGGATTCGAACTTAAGATTTCGAAATAACTACTTAATACGCTAACGCTGAGCTAACAATCTATTCTACAATAACTATTATGAATCTCATGTACATATCTCTCTGAACTGCTCTGAACTCGCGCGATAGAACGAATATGGAGAGCCGCCAACAGTACCCTGGCGGAAATATTTCTACAAAATTAAAAAAAAAAAATAAAAGTGTACTACAAAAAACTATAAAATATAATTGCCAGAATCTATTAAATTTTACATGAATTTAAGAAGTACTACAAAATCCTACATGAAAATGCTAGAATTAGAACACTTTTGTATTTTTTTAGTATGCATCTTGATCTATAAATTTTTCGGTAAAACTACGCTAAACTACAACTAATACTGATATTCTACACATTTCTATATTTATTTGAGTACAGTAGACTACAAGGAAATACTAGAATTAAAACACTCTAATGAGAAAATTCACCTGACATAAAACAAAAACTATATTTATTTTGAAATTTTATTACTACTTTTTAACTAAATTTGTTTCTTAAGATGTAACCTATAATTATAAATATTTTCTCGTACTTAAAAAACACACTTACCTTGATGGGATTCGAACTCGAGACCTCGGGACCTCTGGATCGTGAGCTAACCGTCTTACGTGGTAGACTACTTCTTAATTTGATGTAAAGTGTTATATACAGTCTGCATGTGTCATAACCAGCACAAATATATAATTTTTCAAAAATTCTTAAGAAACAAATTCAGTTTAAAAAGAGTAATAAAATTTTGAATTGGATATACGAATATAATTTTTTCTTAATGTCGGGTGAATGTCAGAAACCAGTGCCGGCTCATTACAAAATAGGCCTAATTTGTATGAATTGGGCCAACGTCGCGCCGCGCGATTACAAAAAGAAAAAAGTTCCTTTATTTTAACTTATCTGTAAAATAAAAAGCGAGTCATTATAAAAAAAACTTTACCCAGCACCACATACACATGTCTAAAACCGGAGGTAACGACCGCGAGCGAAAGTAACACGCTGCGCAGAACTTGGAAAATTTTTGCCCGAGCGGCGTCGGAGGTAATAACCGCGAGCGAAAGCAACACGCCGCGCGGGACTTGGAAAATTTTCGCCCGAGCGGCGTCGGGGGTAACGACCGCGAGCGAAAGCAACACGCCGCGCGGGACTTGAAAAATTTTTGCACGAGCGGCGCCGGCCGGAGGTAACGACCGCGAGCGAAAGCAACACGCCGCGAGAGGACTTTATATATTTTAAATAGTACACACACCCACACCCTCACACACATACACACACACACACACATTTAGATTTCCGTGCATTCGCCCTACCGGAGGTAACGACCGCGAGCGATCTTCAACCAAACCTTCAACCTTTCCATGGAAAGGTTGGTTTGGTTGAAGGTCTGTTAATTTCCATGTAAAATTGTAGTATCTTATAAACATCTAAAAAAAGCAATGTAGATTTTCATGAATTTACGAGTTGTAAAAGGCTTAAGGATTTTGTCGTTTTCTGTAGAGCCTTGTAGTATTGTATGCAAAATTATAACCATTCACAAATCAGAAATTTATATAGGTAAAAAATTGTACATTTATGTATTTTTCTATTGGACTTTACAACAGACTATACGAAAATAAAAACATAAGTATTTTGACTTCTGCGAATTAAGAAGTTATTAATAATAGAGGAATTTTGGAAGATTTTTGTAAAAACTTGTAACAGTTAACTAAAAATTACAAATTTTAATTAGCCATAATTGTAATAAATTTTTGAGCTGTACAAACAAACCGGTATTTGTTAGTATTTGTACGCAGTTGTAAGTATTTTATGAGAAACTAAAAACTGAATTAGGTTCTAAGTTGCATAGTTTTACGATACGTAAATTGTGGTAGATTTCTATAGTCATTTATAAATAATTGTAGTATTCTACAAGTAAGCAGATGTTTTAATTTTTTAAGATTTTGTTTTTTCTTAAATTTTTAAAATTTGTAGATCTTTGTACTATTTTTTATAAAATTGAAGCGTATTTCGTTCAAACACGTAACGATTGGACACCGCTCGATTAGACACGTAACGATTGGAC